TCCGATTCTTACGCTTTTGATCATCGATTCTGGGCGTGTGAAGTTATTAGTTGAATGAGTACGTTTGGTTTTCGACGTTGATGGAAGTTCGATTCCCTTTTGGGTTGCAGTATCATGCTCTGTGGACTTTCTTCGCGTTGACCCAGTTCCTCGTGGTGCGTATTTACCTTCTCACACTGAAAAATCAATTCTTGTGTCTGGCTGTTTGGTGGGCGCTATCAAATTTATGCCCTTTTTTCCTCATTGATTTTTGCAATCCAAAGATGCCAGGTCGAGATTTTTGTGGCATATATATGCATCGGAGAAGATCTCGGGTGTGGGTTCTGGCGAAGAAGCTGATTCGATTGAGGTATCGTCATGCTCTTTTAGCGTTTGAGCCTTGAAGCCCGAGACACAACGAAAACGTGTGTCAACTGTTTGTTGTTTTGCATCTTAGAGGTTTCTTGAAATGTGTTCTCAGTTTTCGAGGCATGTTGTTGTCTTGCAATTGTGAATCTTGCGACGTGTAAAAGAGTTTGAGGTATGCATTTGCGGACCTGCATTTTCACGTGTAAGAGTTTGAGGGTTGCATTGTGCCTTCTTGGTTACACTTAGTGGTTTTTCTACTCAGGTTAAAGGCTGTCTTTTCTAAAGTTGCTCTGATCTTTTGGATGATCTCATTCAGACAACTTAACTTCTCTTGGTGTTTTGATGTGTCATAAGAGTTGTAGTTTCCCTTGTCCCAGATGCCTGAGAAGAAAGCCTCTCTAGTGGATGTATTGAAGCAAGCCAACTCTATTCTTCCTCATGTAGTGCTCGGGAGTACAATACTAGCTCTTCTCTATCCACCTTCTTTCACATGGTTTACATCGAGGTTCATGCAACAGTTCATAGAATTTGAAAAGCAAAGTGATGATATATACTTAAGAAGACATGGCATTCTAATGCATCTCCCTGTCTCCTATTTATAGGTATTTTGTGCCCGCCTTGGGGTTCTTGATGTTTGCAGTTGGCATCAATTCTAATGAGAAAGATTTTCTTGAAGCCTTCAAGAGGCCGGATGCAATCTTTGCTGGTTATGTTGGGCAATATGTCATAAAACCCCTCTTGGGTTACATCTTTGGCATTATGGCTGTATCCATTTTCCATCTTCCCACTCCCATAGGTAAGAAATGCAAGTGTCTGTCTCATCCTTCACTACTCTCTCATTGACAGGATACTGACAAACCTGACATTGTTTTTATCCACCAGGTGCAGGAATCATGTTGGTGTCGTGTGTTAGTGGAGCTCAGCTGTCAAACTACGCTACTTTCCTGACAGATCCATCACTAGCACCTCTTAGCATTGTCATGACATCGCTCTCAACTGCCACTGCAGTTCTTGTGACGCCAATGCTGTCGGTCTTTTTAATCGGGAAGAGGCTTCCTGTTGACGTGAAGGGGATGATATCCAGTATTCTTCAGGTCGTAATTGCACCTATTGCTGCAGGACTGCTCCTCAACAGGTGAGATGCTTATAAGAATATGTCTCGCAAGGTTTATAAGCTTCTTTCCATGGTATGTCACAACATAGAATACGGCTTCAAAGTTGATGAAAACTGAGAACCCATCTCTCAAAATGTCAATGGAGATCCATTTTTCTCTCATATCAATTTGACTGCAGATTATTCCCAAGATTATGCAATGCCATTCGGCCATTTCTCCCGGTTCTATCAGTTCTTGACACAGCTTGCTGCATTGGAGCGCCGCTTGCTTTGAACATCAATTCTGTTATGTCCCCATTCGGAGCTACCATTTTGTTCCTTGTCACTGCATTTCATCTCACAGCTTTCATCGCTGGATACTTCCTTACGGGTTATGCTTTCAGCAAGGCACCCGATGTAAAAGCGCTACAACGGATGTTATCCTATGAAACCGGTACCATCTTGTATTCTTTCGAATATGTTTGATCTTCGAGAAGATATGTTGCATCAGGCATATGTCTGGAAACAAGGGTTTTTCTTCCTCAGGAATGCAGAGCAGTCTTCTGGCTCTGGCGCTAGCCACCAAGTTTTTCCAAGATCCACTCGTGGGTGTGCCTCCCGCCATCTCTGTAAGTTCACGAACGCTAATTGCTTGAGAACCACGCATTCCATGTAAAGTTACTGGTGGGAAAACCCTAGAAGACAGGATCTTTATGTCGGTGTACACAATTTGCAGACGGTGGTAATGTCTTTGATGGGTTTCACTCTCGTCATGCTTTGGACCAGTAGAAAAGAGTGAAGTAACCAACCGGCAAAGACAGAGAGAGGTTCAGCAAA